AAATCAAAACAACTCTGAGATTCCATCTTACACCTGTCAGAATCGCTAAGATCAAAAACACAAATAATATGCTGGAGAGGATGTGGAGCAAGGGGAACACTCCACTGCTGGTGGGAAAGCAAACTTGTACAGCACTACAGACATCAATATGGCGGTTTCTCAGAAAATTCAGAATCGATCTACCTCAAGACCCAGCTATACCACTCCTGGGCATATACCCAAAGGATGCTCCATCATACCACAAGGACACTTGCTCAACTATGTTCATAGCAGCTTTATTTGTAATAGCCAGAACCTGGAAACAACCTAGATGCCCCTCAACCAAAGAATGCATAAAGGGAATGTGGTACCTTTAATAATGGAGTATTACTTGTCTGTTAAAAACAATGACATCATGAAATTCGCCAGCAAATGGATGGACCTAGAAGAGATCATTCTGAGTGAGGTAACCCAGACCCAGAAAGACAAATATGGTATGTCTTCATTCACAAGTGGATACTAGCTGTAAAGGATAACCATGCTACAATCTGCAGACACAAAGAAGCTAAGTAATAAGGAGGGTTCAAGGGGGATGCATGAATCTCACCGTGAAGGGGAAATAGAATGGACACATCAGGTGGATGGGGGAGGGGTCTGAAAGGGGGGTGGGCATGGGAACAGGAGGGAACAGGTTAGGGCAGAATACAGGGAGAGAGTACTTGGAAAGACAACTAGAATCAGGGGGTATCTCTGGGCTGAGCTAGAAACCTACTGCAATGGAAACTCCCAGGAATCTATGAGGGTGACTCTAACTATGACTCTTAGTAATGGGCAATAAGGAGCCTGAACTGGCCTGTAGTTGGAATTTTCTTTGGGCCATCAACCAGCTCCAAAATAAAGAAATGGAGACATATTATTAATTATGAATGTTTGGCCTTAGCTTAGGCTTGTCCCATTAGCTCTCAAAACTTAATTTAGCCTGTTTATATTAATTTCCATTATGTCTCGGGGCTTTTTACCTTTCATTCTGTATGTCCTATATTCCTGCTTCCTTCATGTCTGTCTGTCTGGCCCCTGGCATTTCTCTGCTCTCTCTCTCTCTCTCTCTCTCTCTCTCTCTCTCTCTCTCTCTCTCTCTCTCTCTTTCTCAAGCCTAAAGTCTTCCTCCTATTTACTCTCCCTGCCTAGAAGTCCCACCTATATTTCCTCTCTTGCTATTGGTTGTTTAGTTTTTTATTGGACCAATCAGGTGCCTTAGGCAGGCAAGGAAAAACCATAACACATCTTTACATAGTTAAAGAAATATTCTGAAACACCGGCCATTTCTTGTGACTAGGTAAGACTTCCAGTGGAGGGATTGGGACTCCAACTCAGCCAAATAACCTCTGACCTAAAATTTGTTCTGCCTACAAGATACGATGGGACAAAGGTGGCACAGAAATTATGGAAATAGCTAACCAATGACTGTTCCAGCTTCACACCCATACTATGAGATGGGAGCCCACCTGTGACACTGCCTGGAGGACCAGAACCCAGCAGCTGGACTGTCCAGAAACCTAGGATAGAACCAAACATGACTGGCAAAAAAGAAAAAAAAAAGTCAATGAAATGATCCCTAATGATATTCTGCTATTCTCATAGATTGTTGCCTAGCTCAATGGTTATCAGAGAGGCTTCCCCCAGCAACTGATGGAAACAGATGCAAACCCACAGCCAAACATTAGGTGGACCTTGGGAAATCCTGTGGAAGAGGGAGAGGAAGAATTATGGGAGCTGGAGGGGCCAAGGACACCATGGAAAAACACACAAAAGTCAGCTGACTCGTAGGGGCTCACAGAGACTCAACCACCAACCAGAGAACTTGCATGGGACTGACCTGGGCCCTCTGCACATGTGTTGCAGTAGTGTGGCTTGGTCTTCCTGTCGGACTCCAGGCAGAGGGAGTAGGGGCTGTTTCTGACCCTATTGCCTGCTCTTGGGACCCTTTCTGCTGTGGGATGGTCTGTATGTCAAATTGCTCTGATTGGTCAATAAATAAAACACTGATTGGCCAGTGGCTAGGCAGGAAGTATAGGCGGGACTAACAGAGAGGAGAAATAAAAGAACAGGAAGGCAGAAGGGGTCACTGTCAGCCGTCGCCAGGACAAGCAGCATGTGAAGACGCCGGTAAGCCACGAGCCACGTGGCAAGGTATAGATTTATGGAAATGGATTAATTTAAGCTTTAAGAACAGTTAGCAAGAAGCCTGCCACGGCCATACAGTTTGTAAGTAATTTAAGTCTCTGTGTTTACTTGGTTGGGTCTGAGCGGCTGTGGGACTGGCAGGTGACAGAGATTTGTCCTGACTGTGGGCAAGGCAGGAAAACTCTAGCTACACCTTTCCTTGGGCTGGGTTGCCTTCTCCAGCCTTAACAGGAGAGGAAGTGCCTAGTCTTGCTGCAATGTGATGTTCCATGGCTGGCTGATATACATGGAAGGTCTCCATTTTTCTGAAGGGAAGGGAGAGGGAGTGGATGGGGATGAGGGAGAAGTTCAGGGGAGGGACTTGGGGGGAGGAAACTGATTGGGCTGGGAAAAATCAATTGAGTAACTAATAAAAAAAGAGGAAGAAAACCAAACACACACAAAAAGAAGGTACCTTGAATATTTCTGAATTAAGAAAAACATGAACATTTTCTCCCATTGCCATGCATAGGCGACTGGAACAGCTGCTGTAAGCTGCATTTCAAGTTTCTTGGCTTTGTATCATTACATTTTAATAACTAGTCATCTCTAAACCAAGATTTGGCAGGCTCTCTGCAAACAAAGCCCCCAAATACCTTCCCTCTTCCCTCAGTGTCCACTTCTCTCTTACTTATCACAACAATTTAGAAATATCTCTACTGGGCACAGCTCCCAAAGTTAGATGCAGGCTAACTTGTCCTTTGAAACAGGTTTCAGCAAGCTGCCTTGGAACTATGTAGCCTAGGTTGGCCCTGAACTCCTGGCAAACCTAGCTCAGTGCTGGGATTACAGACATGAGCCACCATGCCTGGCTCTAAACTGATGTTTCTAACTTGATGTTTCTGCAGCGCTCATAACTGTATACAGTGCCATTCTATTAAAACGAACACATTTACTGTGTATGTCAGTGGAATTCACAATGATGTTTCCATACCCATTTGCAGCAAGCATGGGTCATATCCAGGCATTCTTCTCCCTCCCTTACCTGCTCCCCCAAACTCCTCCCTCCTCCCTAGTAATGACTACTTTTCAGGGTTTTTTTTTCCCCTTATATTTCCATGTATAAGAGAGAACTTGTTTTTCTGGTTTGTTTTACATAGCATGGCGTCTCCTAGATACATCCATCTTCCCGATAGTGGCCAACTTCAGTCCTCTTGATAGCTGGATGATATTCATATCCATTGCATACCTGAAAATGGGCACGTGGGCTGGTTCCATAGCACAGCTATTATGAATATCGAGAACTCCAGTAAACACTCGTGTGCAGGCATTTCTTCGGGCTATATAGACTGGGATAGCCGGACCACAACCTCGCTCAAGTCAATGGCTGCGCTATTTCCATTCTTACCAACAGCGTGCGCACTTCCATTCTCTCCACAAGTCCCACCCTCTCTAGCATTTATCCTAGAACGTAATCTAGTTCAGTTTAGTAACGCCTTTCCCTCACACGGGGCCCGTGTGCAAGCTGTCCGCTGGCCTGTTCTCACTGAAGGGTGGAGAGGCAGTGGCGTGGCCCAGGCCTGACTGGGTGCTTTCGTCTACTCCACATGTGGCTGTCTGTGCTCTTCTGAGAACGACCTGGAGAGCTATCTGTGGCTCACGGGGCAGCCATCATCCTGGGTTCTTACAGAAACAGGGAGAACAGAAGAGGCAGAGACACCACTGGGCTGCTGGCCTCACAGAACTATTCTGTAAACTAGAATCAATCATTGTGTGAACCACTGCATGCCTGGGCAGATGTTTCTAGCACACAGCAAACTCAGGGCTGTCTTCAGTCACAGATTTGACCTCTGACTTCCCAGACATGTCCCCTGGCACCGTGGCCTTCTTTACCTGGCACTTTGGCCACAGTGGCCCTGCCATTCCACGGGGTGGGGTTGAGGACAGTCACACAATTATAATCCTTCCACTCAGATGCAGAAACCCCAACTTGCACCCTCTTTCCAGTTTCCATTTCTCAGCGACATTCTTTCTGGAAAAAGTCTCCTCCAGCTGTGCTGGCTCCTGGCCCTCTGTGGCCCAGCATCCTCTACTAATAACAGACCCCCCTTTCCTCTCTCCTCCCACAAATGCATGACAGTGTTGGTTACAACTCAACCTATGAACATATGCTTCCAATGGGCGGGGAAAGGTGAGAGCAAGGTGAGGGAGGGTCTGTCATGCCCAGAGCCAATTCTGAGGCAGGATGAGTATGCAAACCTGTTACCTGGTAGGGAGTCAAAGGCACCACTGTGGGCTGTGTGACCCTTCTCAACTTAGGTATGCATCCCAGCAACTGCTGTACTTAGGTAAGATCAGAAACAGCTCAGAAGTGGAGCAGGCTGGGAGGAGTACTGGAGACCTGGGTTCTGGAGACCTGGGTTCCAGAAAGGGGTGAAATAAGCCAGCATGGTGTTCAGAGAATCACTGGGCACCCTCTTGGAGCATGGGCCCTGTCCTTCCTGCTAAGCAAAATCATATTCCAACCCCGCCTCCTCCCGCCCGGGAGCTGATTGTCATCGCTCACTAAGGCTTGGTCAGCTGTGCACTCTGAATATTACCATGGCGGGGACTTTACAGCTCCCAGTTCAGCCATCAGTGAGACACAGAAGCTGGAGTGTGTGCCAGTCAAGGGCAGAGAAAAGCAAGCCAAACCATGACCCTCATGTCAGCCCCTTCTGAGACCCCTCAGGGCTTCTGACATACTTTGTCCTGGTGGCTGTGTGACCGGACCAACTGGGAAATGGCCAAGTTAGGGTGCAGATGTCCACTGGCTCCCAGAGGCCTGGCTATCATTAAGAACACTGAAGACACATGCATTGGTTGTCCAAGTTTAAGGTGTAGTTTTATTTACAAAGTGAGATGACGTATTAAAAAGAGATGACAGAGGTACAAATGGGTATGTGATAACTCCATTTTCATGAAAAGTATATAAATATATTACAGGAAATTGTATAGAGTAAACATTAGAAACCGATACAGTAAACATTGCTAGTTTCTTTTCTATGCCAATATTACTGTCATTAAAAGCTTAAATACTGGCTTCAAGTATCCTCTATAAAATAAATCTACTTTATTAAAATACTGGAAAAATTTGCTATAAACAAGATTTGGTACATTAAAAATAGATTCATTGTGTCTTTGTAACAATGTCCACTCTGATCAAATGCTGCCTCCAGCCCTAAGACCTGCCGTGTTCAGGTCAGGTTAAATGAGTTTTGATAATTATCAGAGGTCAAAGCAGCTATAAAAGTACCACATCCTGATACATACATATGTCTTCCAGGAGCGCCCTCCTCTAAGGATGAGGGACTCAGCAGCAAGGCTATGACTGCTTGACCTGGCTGCTCTTGTCTGAGTGGAGCAGGAGTCAGCTGGGGGCACATGGGAGGCACATGGGAGGCTGCTCCTGTCACTGTGGGAGCCTTGGCTGTGTCTTCTGCTCTTCAGCCTGAAGATGAGTCAGGACATACAGGATAACTTGATAACAGAAAACATACTGACCCTGTAGGGGAGGAACGGAGAGAAGCTTCACTACATAAATAAATTACACACACTAAGGTTTGAGAAATTTGGAAATAGGAACTGCTTTGTTTAAATGCTGAATGTACGAGTCAGGGCACACAACTGTATAGTGCCATAAAAATTATAAACAACAAACAAATTGATAAGAAACGGGAGGGAAAGTGCCAATGGGTTATGTACAGAATGATCCTGGACTGCATACATATCCTGAGAAATCTTTCTCTGTGTGTGTGATCTGATTTTACTTTTTGGTGCTGGGGACCAAACCTAGGGCCGTGGCACTTGTGAGGCAAGTGCTCTACTACTGAGCTGCACTCCAATCTCTAAAGTCTAGATTTCCTATTTACTGAACTCATGTTGTTTTAAAATATAAATAAGAATCTATCAAAATAAGCTTCTTTAACTATTTCAGAGCAAAAACATAGAAATAAAAATTATTCATTTATTTATTTTGTTTTTTTTTTGAGACGGTTTCTTTGTGTAGCCAGCCCTAGCTGTCTACTTGGTAGACCAGGCTGGCCTTTAACTCACAGAGACCTGCTTGCCTCTGTCTCTCAAGTGCTAGGGTTAAAAGTGTGTGCCACCACCACCTGGCCAGAAGTAAAAATTAAAATATAATATAAATTTAATATGTAATATACTATAATAAATAACATACGATTTAGTAATAAATATGAAATTATTTTCTTTGAATATTTTTGATCAAAAGAGTAAAGAAATCAATAAGCTTTGATAAATGAGTCGTTATGGTAAAGTTAATGCCTAAGCTGATGATACTGAGATCTGAGATTTTTTTTCTTATGTGGCAAAGAATGAATGAATCTGAAAATAAATGGAAAGGCGTCACAATGGGCTGGAGAGATGACCCAGCCAGCAAGGGCCCTGGCTGCTCCTGGAGAGCATGGAGCTTGGTTCCTAACATCCCTATGGTGGTTCACAGCTGCCCACAACTACAGTCCTAGCAGATCTTAAAGTAAAATCTTAATAAAAAGAAGCCCACAGTATATTAGATGGAAAGTAATAAAACAATAACCACAGCTGGAGCTCAGCTCTAACCGCTGCACAGGTCTACGGGAAGAAGAATTCTATGCAGATCTGATAGGGCGTGTCATCTGCATTTCAGCTTTTGTGCACGCCCAGGTTCCTAGCAGACCTCTCTCAGAGTGGCCATCAGCACGTCCCTTTCACCTAAGCCTTTTTGTCCACAGTCAATACTTCTTCCTTACCCCCCCCACCCCAAATATAAAAGAATCAAAGTTTAAGAGCACTTTTAGAGTATGACAGTCTTAAGACAAATCCTCATTAGTGTACACAGACTCACCTCTGTCTGCACCATGCCATGCCTTTGTAGTCTCATGCAGCGCACTAAGTCAGAGATGTCGAACTGCCAAGACACAGAGCAGTGCGTTAGACACAGACCCCAGAAGATGCACAAGACACAGGGCAGTGCATGAGACACAGACCAGAAGATGCACAGGACACAGGGCAGTGCATTAAACACAGACCAGAAGATGCACAGGACACAGGGCAGTGCATTAGACACAGACCAGAAGATGCACAGCTGACTCACCATAGAATTATTTTAAATAAATTTATTTATTTTACATCCTGGTGGCAGTTTTCCCTCCCTCCTCTCTTGTCAGTCCCTCCTCCCAACCCGTTTCCACCTCCCAAGTCTACCCCCTCTGTTTCTGTTTAGGAAAGGGCAGGTCTCCCATGAGTATGACAAGTAGGGACCCAAAAGCCAACAAGAGTCAGAGACAGTCCCTGTTCCCACTGTTAGGAGTCCCACAAGAGGACCAAGCTACATATCTGTCACATATATGGAGAGGGCTTAGGTCAGTCCCATGCAGGCTCCCTGGTTGTCAGTTCAGTCTCTGAGACCCTATGAGCCAGGTTAGTTGATTCTAAGAATCAGAGTCTACTCTGTTGAAAATTTTCAACAGAAGTTCTCTTCTTCTGATACTTAGCTAATTTCTTAAAATATATAAAACAATATAAGCAATATTCCTCACATACTGCTATTCAGAATAAATTTCCAAATCTTTTTAATTTAGCTGACACTGAACACAAGGGCAGATTGGACTGTAGGGTTTCCCCGATTCGGTTATAGAGCTCATCAGAGTATCAAGCACAAGACAGAACTGCTTCACCTAAAATCCTTTAAGAGACACTGGTTTCAATCAGAGAGTATATATGTAGTTAAATGCAAGATATTTTGGCAATTAAGTAGGTTTTATAGTAACTTAAGAACCAAAAGTAAGATCATACTTTTATCTCCTTTAATATACATTCTTTTCTTTCTTTCTTTCTTTCTTTCCTTTCTTTTCTCTCTCTCTCTCTCTCTCTCTCTCTCTCTCTCTCTCTCTCTCTCTCTCTGTTTGAGACAAGGTTCTCTGTGTAGCCCTGGCTGTCCTGGAATTTGCCTTGAAGTCAGAGATCTGCCTGCCTCTGCTCCCGAGTGCTGGGATTAAAGGCCTGTGCCACCACCGCCCTGCTTTTAGTAATATTTTTACATTAGGAATAACTACTTAGAGCAATCGATTAGAATTGATTTTCAAACAAAAACATTCTTTTCTTATCCACAGAACAAGAACAAAGCCCAATATTCTCCTCTTAAAAAGTGGACTGTCTTCTGGACATTGATATCTCCTGTAAGCACGGGAATAATACTGACTCTGTCTCACAGAGAAACTTAAGGACTGGAAGGGGTAAGAAAGGACAGCACCCACAGACCTTTACGACACTCACAATACCCACATTATTAAACAGTAGATTAAACAGTATCTTCACTCACTTCAAGATCTTGGCTGATTAGTCCTAGGACCACGTCTATGCATATGAGGGTCCCTGAACGCCCAATGCCAGCACTGCAGTGTGTGACCACTGGGCCTGACGTATGGATGTGTCTCATGTAGGAGATGAAAGTGAGCAGGTCGTCTGGCTGGGAAGGTGTATCATGGTCTGGCCAGGCAGTGAAATTCAGATGAGAAATATGCCGCACCTCTCCTGTCTGAAAGTGTAAAAATAGAGTGAGTTACAATGTCACATCATTCCTAAGTCAGTTCCTCATATTATTTTCATCTTTCAAACTTGAGTAGTATATGGAATCAGACCAAAAGAAAAAATGTAAGGAATAAAAAGGCTTCTTCATAAACACACAAAGCTGGGTGTGATGGTGTATACCTAATTTCCAGTATTCAGACCAAGAGAGGAGAATGGAGTGTTCAAGGCCAGCTTAGGGATACATAGCAAGATTGTGACTCAAGACAACAGACAGGAAAGAAAGAAAGAGAGACCTTATCAAGAGGTCTGCTTGTTTGTTTTTTCGAGACAGGGTTTGTCTGTGTAGTTTTGGTGCCTGTCCTAGATCTTGCTCTGTAGACCAGGCTGGCCTCAAACTCACAGAGATCCACCTGCCTCTGCCTCCCGAGTGCTGGGATCAAAGGTGTGCACCACCACCGCCCGGCTAGTCATAGAGTTTTAAAAACAGCATAGATTAGTCTACTTAGATGTTGGACCTTAAAAAAAAAAAGGCAAATTTCTATGTATGTTAGAGTTCTGAACTATTTTTCACTATTTACTCCTAAGCAAAGAAGGATGATCACGTTAGAAGCATCCCACCCCAATTCAGCATCTACCAGAGGAAACTGTGAGGGGCCACACTTAAAACTGCCCTGGATGCTGGAGGATCAGGACTTTCGGGCTGCCTGTAGCTCTGCAGTGGTTTTGAGGCCAGTCTGGGCTACATGAGACCTTGACTCAGAACCGAAATCACAGCAGACGACCCGCTTCCATTGCAGTGGTCCCAGAAACATGCAGGCCTGCTTTCTGAAGGGGAGCCAAGGCTCAGGAGGAGCAAAGACGACTCACCTGAATATCCTCCAGGCTCAGCACCCGCACCACGAAGCCCTTCAGCTGCTGCATTCTCAGGAGAGCCAGGCGCAGCCTCTCATTGGCCATGGTCGTCGTGCCCAGGATGCTCGGCCAGTAGCGCTGGCATTTGACTTTGTCTCCTTCCACTTCCTGCGTCATCATTGCTATCACTGTGGAGTTCTGCTCCCAAACCATTTGCCAGAAATCCCCCACGGTGGTGGGCAAGGGCCCCTGGCAGGCAATGTAGACGAACTCCTGTGTCCCCACTGGGATCCTGATGAAACTGGCATTGATGTACCCGCCTTCGTCTCCAAGAGGCACTCTTGTGGAGTCATCTGTGAATGTCCACAGCCAAAGGTCCATGTCATGATCATGCACTGTCACTGTGAGTTTCACACATAACCAGTCAAAGCTCTTGACTGTTCCTGTAGCCCCCCACGGACTCACTGCCACATGCTTTGGTGAAGGATGTTTTCACATGGCAGCAGTCCACGTATATTTATGGTTTTGTTATGACACTGTATCTAAGATGTCAGCATGGTGGCTTTCTGTGAAACTTGGAGTTTGCCAATATATATTTTATTTTATGTATAGACTAAATATGTATAATTAATGTGATAATGTATGTAATGAAAATTAAACTTAACAAATATAAGGTGAACTTCATAGTAAGCAATCAGAGAAACAAACACAAACACCTTTGTTATTTCTCTGTCAATATCTTGATACCAAGGATAATAGTCTTGAATGATGGGACAAACACTTTCACAGAACAAAAGTTTGCATTGAAATGACACTATCCAAGCAGCTGCTACAATCATTATTGACATAGCTAACTCTTATGTAGACCTGAGAAGAACTTTCTACTTTGTCCTTTTGTTATTACTTGTGTGTGTGTGTGTGTGCGTGTGCGTGTGTGTGTGTGTATGTATGTGTGTGTATGATGTGTGTTCTGGGGGAGCATGCCACAGCACACGTGTGGAGGTGGGAGGACAACATGGCAGGTTGTCTCTTTCCTTTTACCATGTGGCCATCAGTATCCTTGCCTGCTGTGCCAGCCTCATTTTTATTTTAAATATTCATAAATTTAACAAGTAATTTTGGTGGCAATCAAGGTAAAACCTCTAAAAATAGTTTTCAAAATTTATTGCTTGACTTTTATCTCTTGGGTCACAATTTGCTTCCTAACAATAAATTACTTTTGTATTTATAGTTTGTCCCATTCTGACTTCTAAATACAAATCTGACTTATTTTGGCCTCATATAACAACTGCTACCTACTTAATGCTGAACCATGGTCTACTCCCATTCTTAAAACTTTCTTAGATTCCCTCCCTTTTTTTTTTTTTTTTTAAAAGATAGGGCCTCTCTGTGTAGCCCTTGCTATCCTGGAACTCACTCTGTAGATCACATTGACCTTGAACTCACAAAGACCCACCTGCCTCTGCCTCCTGAGTGCTGGGATTAAAGGTGTGCCTGGCTAGACTCAGTTTTTACAGGAAAACTTTCAAAATGAATTTTATGTTTCTCATCTTAATTAAAAATTTCAGTTGCATATTATTTATAACAAGATTGTCTTTTCTGGGCTACAGTGATGATAGCATCAGCGTCACATGCTATAATCCAAAATGCTAATATGTAAGAAATTGCCAAGTTAAAATTTTGGGACACACACACACACACTTAAAAAAAATCACATTGTTGGCTAAAATGGGTTGAAATCATTCCTTTTATTTCCTTCTAGAATCTGAAACAACTGAAAGGTTCATGAAGCCTGGCACTTCACCAGACACGTGCATGCACACAGCTACCATTCACATGTCTGTAAACTTAGTAAGCAGAATAAACTGATGGTGTGGTTTCACATAAATCCAAGAACGATCATTTGGAAGCAATTAATATGTATATAAATATGAATAATATACAAAATATATATTTTGTGTTCATATGGACATGTGGTGCGTGTACACGTGTGTGCATATGTGTGTAAAGTCAATGAGGTGTCATGTCATTCCTCAGGAGCCAATTACCTCCCTTCTTTGAGACAGGGTCTCTCCCTGGGACCTGAGTCTTACTATTGGGTTGAGCTGGCTGGAGAGCGAGCTTCAAGGAGCTTTTTGTCTCCACTTCTAAACACTGCATCAGCTGAGCTGCCTCCCAGGCTTGGCAATTCAGATGTGGAACACACTTGAGAATTACTGATTAGGTATCACCAATTAACTTCTAATCAAGAAACGGTTTTGAAAAATTCAGGAGTATCTCAACAAATGTTTAAGATGGCCACGACTGAGCTTCAGAGTACACAGAGCACTGAAAAGAGCATTTGCACTGTAATCTACTTGTTACCAATGAAAAGCTCTGCTTCTGTGTGCACACATGTACTAATGTGTGAGGTGCAATGGGTCAGGCTAGCAGGAGAGCTCCAACAGTTCAATTCACACTGCACACACACTCAGAGCCACACTGGAACTCACAGGAACACACACACTCAGTTAGAGCCACGCCAGAACTCCCAGGGAACACACACACTCAGAGCCACACAGGAACTCCCAGGGAACACACACACTCAGTTAGAGCCACACTAGAACTCCCAGGGAACACACACAC